GGTAGTACTGGTTAAGTGGTAATAATAGAAACTCACTGATAGCAATGCTTCTTAATTAAAAATTAATATTAATTTCCCTTATAGTTCTCTTTCATGTCAAGATGGAATTTTTAAAAGCCAGTTTACAGGCCATAGTATCTGTTAATGCTGGTATTACTGAAACGAAAGCTAATAAGTGGTGCTTTAAGTTCGTAGTATGATCCTTTATGGACCTTAATTGATTTAGGAGGAATCAGGCTGGATTTCATCATCATCGTCGTCATAACCTGCAAATGTGCTAGTAGGATTATATTTTTATCCTATCTTGGTCTCCCATGTAGAACTGAGCACCTACACTGAATTTCAAGAAAGTGAGACTGTCTTGTCACAGATTCTCAGGCTTTGCCTTTGAATAATCATTCACTTTCGAATAGGTTGTGGTGTTGAATATAAGCTGAATATTTTAATCTTTCTCTTTAGCTTTTAAACATCCTTCCACAGCTATATTAGGAAAGTCAGGTTGACCATCTGCTCAATGGGTGTGACCTTGGTGATTTCCTTGAAATAGTGTTGAAGGATTTAGTCAGTGGGTTTTGATCACCACTGTAGGTTGCTATGCAGAGTTCTCTTCACTTGTCAGACTAAGGAAAAAAATAGTATGTGTAAAATAGAGAAGGGAAACCTGTAGAAAAACTGTCAGTTTCCTAACCAGATCTTGGAGATAATTTTGAAGTTTAAAGGATACAAAATGAATCAGCCAGAGACTAGCAGTTTGTTTAGGTTGAATGTTTCAATGATCATTTATTTGGATACCTTGGTAGCTTCGATGACTTGCTGGAATACTGCAAATTATTTGGCTATAAATAGAATTTTCTGTGTTTTTAACAGGTTTTGAGGACTTTGAATACCTTATTGCTGCACACCATGGTAGTAGATATTCCATGTCAGATAACCTGTTCAGTTGGGGTGTGCTTTCTTTGAGGTCACCCGTTTGAGAACAACTGTACATAAAGAAAGGTATTTCCAAGTCACTTGGTCAGCAAGGTGGCATTCACCTGTAATTTATTGTGCGTAAGCACAATTATAGTGCCTTTCATTAAGTATTATAGAATGGGTAGTATTTGCTAATTTCCAGGTCTGTAGGTATTGGCAGAATTCATAGTAACTTTATTCACAAATGAGTATCTGCTTTTTAAAAAAATAAATGGCTTAAAGAACACCAGACTTGCATTTTATTTTAGGTGGTTACAGCAGTATGGTTCTTTCTTTTCAAAGCTTATGTTGTGGTAAATTAAAAAAAAAAGCATCTACTGAAGTGATCACAATACAACTTACTTAGTTTCTCTCCAAATAGAAGGTTCTACTGAATAACCTGTTGCTTTAGGTGCCTGAGGAGTAAATGGCTGATGGTTGAGTGTTGTCGCTAACCTGAGGAAAAGTTAAAACATTTTTAATTTAGATACTGAAAAACTTCTTTGCTGAGCACCTTTCGGTCAGCTTGGTGTGTTCAGAAGGCTCCCTCGTGTGCAAACGAAAAGCCTTCAGAGTGAGTGTTGGTTTATGACGTCGCCCCCCAGCTCCAGTTCTCTGTCAAGGCAGACAGGTCTCCTCAGCCCGTCAGGTACTGTCGGCTCCACGTGAAGCCGCGGGTTCCGGGGCCTGTGCGCTGGGTGGTGGTCTGTCAGCGTGAGCAGGAGGGAGGTCAGGACGTCCGTTTTCCGTGCGTCATCATTCCAGTCTTTGGTATTACAGGCGCTCTGTAAAGATTTTTGACTTTTTGTTGAGCAGTCTGGTCTTGGTAGTTACTGATTTATAGCTGAAGTCTGCATTGAGTGTCTGTCCAGAGTTGAGGGCAGGGACTTCCCTGGGGTCCAGGGGTTTAGACCCCGCACTCCCGACCGAGGCAAGGGGCCCGAGTTCCATCCCTGTCAGGGAGCTGAGGTCCCACGTGCCCCCGCACAGCTTAGCCAAAAGTAAATAAATAAATAAAATGGAAAAGAGTCGAAGGCATTTGCTGTGAGAGATTACCCTAGTAGGCCTTGCATTTGGGTTTGGTAGGTCAATAAGAAAAGTGGTTATAAATCCCAATGATGCAGTTTTGCTTCTACTAGTCAACTTTATGGTATGATTGTATGTGATTCATTTTTTATTATCCTCTTAACAATGTAGAAAATGGTCATTAGATGGCAGCCACAGACAGCCATGTAGAAGTCTTGATGAACATTCAAATTAATTTTAGTATCAAGTCTCAGTTACGGTTGGTAAGTGTGGCCAGAGACACACTCACTCTGCACGCCTGTACTGCTGAGCCCGTTTCTTGAGAGCCTGAGCCTGTGGCCCTTTCTGGGCACTTGGGGGCAGCAGTGAGCCAGCAGACAGGAGGTCTGCCCCTGGGGGCTGAAGGCATGGCCCGTTTTGGGCATCTTGAGAGAACTGGAAGGACTGCTGTGTCCCTTCACTGGAGGTTTTGCCCCCAGAAGACTCCCTGGCTGGGACTTCCGTCCCCCAGCTCCCACCCCATCCTGTTCACCCTCTCGGGCAGCACTGAAGCTCTTCTTTCTCCGAAGGTTTTCTCCAGCGTCCTCTTGTACCACCCCTTTGGGTCTTGTGTTGGAAGCTGATGACGACTTACTTAACCCAGATATTTGAACGTTTCAAAGATATAAGTTGAAACTAACTGTCAGAAGACGGGAATGTCCAGTCTGTGCCGTTACGCACCGTGGGAAGTGTACCCACATCATGCTTTTCATCCAGAGTTGTTGGAGTTTAGGATTGGTGTCTTTGGGGAGAGGTTATTTACAGAAAAGTGGAGTTTCCCAAAGCTTACAAATGTCAGATTGTTGTCAGATTTCTTTAAAAAAAAAAAAATGTTGCGGTCTGACATGCAGGACTTTGATTTTGTCAAATCAGGACATTAAAAAAAAAAAAACCCTTTCCTATTGCCACTCTTTGATTTTATAAGAAGGGTATTTTGGCACCCAAGAAGTAGAAAGGGTCTTAAATAAAGGGCAGGCTTTATTCAAATTGAGATGAACTCCTGTAGCTGCGTGTGGTGCTCACTGAGTCACCCCTCTTCTCACTCAGCTGTCGGCCAGGGAAAAGTGTCGTCAGGGTTTGAGAGCTGCTTTTCCAGAGGGTGTGCTGTTCCTTCTTCAGTTACAGTATTACCTGGGACACTCAGCTCAGTATATGTTTGCTGAATGAGTAACTGACCACATGGAAACCTAGAGTACCACTCAGCAAATCCAAATATCATCTCCTATCTTGATCAGCATGATCAGGGAGTTACGTCTACCCATGAAGTGTGTCTCACCCCAGGACCATGGGTGTTTTGAACTCCGCAAGTGGTCCTGTGGCATTGAGTAGACGGAGGAAGACAGGCCCGGGGGTGACAGCTTCAAGGCTGTAACTCGGCCAGAACTGGAGCTCGGGCCTCCCGGCAGCTGGCAGCCCAGGCTGTGTGTTTCTCCTCCATTGTGACTGCAACAAAAGGCCAAGAAACTGAAGATAAAACACTTCAGGTCCATTCTTTTTACCGTAAACTTTGATCTGCAGGCTTCCTTAAAGCTTAATGTTAAAGATTTCGTTTACTCTGAACTAAAAGATAACAGGGAGTAGAGGATTTTCTTTTTCTGGGTGTGAAGAAGGGGAAGAAATGTTTCCTCCTATTCTGAGTCCACTGGCTCCTGCTCTTTGAGGAAGTGGAGAGAAGGAAAGGAAAGTTGTGTGTGTGTGTTTTAACTGTTGACTGTGGTGGGAGCAGTTTGCATGTATCTCTGTTTTCTTGGGTGGACTTGACTGACTTCAGGTAAAGTAGCTGGGACTGTGTGGAAACAGTTCCTGTGCTCACCTTGAAGGTGGAGGGTGTTGGCTTCACAGGTTAATCCTTCTGCAGTCCTTCTGTGAAAATGTGCTCCCAGCTCAGAGCCTGCAGTTCACTCAGGTTATCCATTTTGTACCTGGCCAACGCATACGTGAAAGGTGGATTAGAAACGAGAGGGTCTGTTTTCTGATGGAAGTCTAAGCCATGTTGAACCAGCCGTGTTGAGGATCTTATTTAAAATGTGTGCAGTCACAAAGTAGCTTTGTGTCTTTATTTCCTCATTTGTAGTTTGGGCAAGGAAGTCCTACCCCGGTGCTCGTTGAAGGCAGAAAGTTGTTAAAAGCAAACGGGTTTGTGCAGTGGAATGAGGAGCATGGTGTTCAAGGTTCTGCGTGGCCAGGATGAGAAACTATTCCAAAATGTGTTTCTTGAGTGGGGATTTCAGGAAAGGTTCCTATTTTTCAGTGCTTCTGTTGGTGATTTAGGTTATGTGTAATCCTCCAGTGTGCTTTTAGGTGTCTGTGTTTCTTGTGTGTTTGTCTATAAGATAATGTGAAACTCTGACTTTTAAAATTTTGCCTCAGGTGCTTTCATTTTTTTTTTTTTTTAACAATTTTTAAAGTCTCTAGACTTGCAGAGATTGTAAGGATACACATGCACTTTAGTGGTAGTTAAAACACATTAAGCTCAATTTGATCATTTCTGTTCTGAAACTTCACATTTTTGATTTAAATCATTGAAGCACCAGGTTTTCAGTTTAACTGTGAATTTCTCGCAGTTTGCTAAGGGTTATTGTATAAAACACTAATGGTTTAATTAATGAGCACGTGTAGCAGGACGCTCTGTACACAGCGATATTAGCTAAAAGGGAAGCTGCCGAAGCGGGTGCCTTCTCTGCTTCTTGGGGAAGACCACTGTGAGTCGTCGCCTGCCTTCTCTCCTCTCTGACTGGAGCCCACCTTTTTTTTTTCCCTCCTCTAGGTTTGGGAAACCCCTTGTCTCCAGGTTGCCGGCACCGACCTCTTGCTCAGCTGACTGGCTCACTCTGTGAAGACGGAGAACCCATGCGCTGTGTTGAAGGGGCTCTGCCTGGTCGGAGAGAGAGCCCGCCCTCGGCTTTGTGACTGAGCTTCCTGGACTTGGGAAGAGAAGACGGTAGAGGAATACACACTTTCTTTTGAATTTTTACAACAAATAATTTGCTCTAGTTTTGAAGCCTCGGGCTGCTGGGTGTGTGAGTGACAAGTCTTTTACAAGTGGCCTTATTCCAACTCCAGAGATTCCTCAAGCAGATTCTAATTTTATATACAACCCTCAGGAGACAGGAAACATGCCAACCCAATCCCTCTTGGTGTATATGGATGGACCGGAAGTTATCGGCAATTCCCTTGGCACCCAAATGGAGCTGGATGACGCCGTGACGATCAAAGGGGCCGCCGCGGTCCCCTTCCGAGCCACGCCGGAGAAGAGCATCATCCAGATGGAGGGGTGCATGCCCCTGGACTGCATGTTCTGCAGTCAGACCTTCACGCGCTCCGAGGACCTCAGCAAACACGTCCTCCTGCAGCACCGGCCCACCCTCTGTGAGCCCGCCGTCCTGCGCGTGGAAGCCGAGTACCGCAGCCCTCTGGATAAAGGGCAGGCGCGCAGCGAGCCGCCCAAGGACACGAGCTGCAAGGACAGCGAGGAGCTGAGCTGCGAGGTGTGCGGGCAGACCTTCCGCGTGGCCTTCGACGTGGAGATCCACATGAAGAAGCACAAGGACTCGTTCACCTACGGGTGCCACATGTGCGGCCGGCGGTTCAAGGAGCCCTGGTTTCTGAAGAATCACATGCGGACGCACACGGGCAAGTCGGGGGCGAAGAGCAGGCCGCAGCCTGGCCTGGAGAGCCCGGCGACCATCAACGAGGTGGTGCAGGAGCCCGCGGCCGAGGGCGTCTCCTCGCCCTACAAGATCTGCATGGTCTGCGGCTTTCTCTTTCCAAATAAAGAAAGTCTCATCGATCACCGGAAGATGCACACCAAAGACGCTGCTTCCGGGCCCCGCGGCCCGCAGACCGAAGTCCCGACGGAAGGCATGCCGTCGCCGGGGGCGGAGCTGCTGCAGTTCCTGAACCTGAGACCCGCGTCCCCCGCCGAGATCGCCAAGAAGCCAGCCAAGTGGATACCTCAGCTGGACCCGTTCACCACCTACCAGGCCTGGCAGCTGGCTACCAAGGGCAAGGTGGCCGTGTGCCGAGAGGTGAAGGAGCAGCAGCCGGGCCAGGAGGGCAGCACGGACAACGACGAGTCGTGCTCCGACAAGGAGGAGCCGGGGGAGATCTGGAGCACCCGCAAGAGCCAGCCCGAGGGCTCCGGGAAGCCCAGGACGAGTAAAGGCGGCTGCCCCGGCCTCTCCCAAGACAAGGAGAAGTCCAGACACCCCCACGGCGAAGTGCCTTCCGTGGACGCGGACCCCAAGCTGGCCAGCAGTAAGGAGAAGCCGACGCACTGCGCTGAGTGCGGCAAAGCCTTCCGGACCTACCACCAGCTGGTGCTGCACTCGCGCGTACACAAGAAGGAGCGCAGGGCCGGCGCCGGCTCGCCCCCCGCGGCCGCGGACGGCAGGCAGCCCAGGACGTGCTCCCCGGAGCTGCCGCCCGCCCTGGAGGACAGCGGGGCCCTGGACCGGGAGGCTGGCTCTGAAGACGGCTCCGAAGACGGGCTACCGGACGGGCTCCACCTGGGTGAGCTGCCCCCCGACCCCCACCCGGTCCTGCAGGGAGGACAGGGCCCACTGAGGGCGGGTCTGGGTCCTGGCTCCTGGTCTCCTATTGTAAAAGTCCCTAAGCTCTCAGGGCCTTCATCTCCTTTCTGTGACAGTAGGGTGGCCTTAAAAGGTCTGTCGAGGTTGCTTCCTGCTCTAAGAGTGATGCCATGTCACTTTTTGCTAACAGAGGCCCCACGTTAGCTCACTTGGCGCGTGCGCTGTGTCACGGGGGGCGGAGGCCTGGGGTGCTGCATGTCCCCGGGCGGCCCACAGCAGAGGGTACCCCGGCCCCTGATGTCCACAAGGGGGCGATGGGGGCCTCCACTCACATCCCAGCATCCCAGTCCTAGTCTGTTGAAGCAGGGTGCCCTGAAAGGCAGTACATTTGCCTTTCTGCCAAGAGCCAGCTCTCACACACACTCCACGTGTGTGTCTGCGGGCACAGATCAGGACGGGAGTGACCCGTGGGCCGCTGGGCGCTGCCTGGGCCGACCGTGTGTCTGGTGGCAGGGGCTTGTAACTCAGTCACTCCAGCACTTACTTGGTAAAGTATAGAGAGTGAACACATCGAAGGTAATGGAAAGATTTCATCTGCTCAGTCACAGTTCTAGTGTTCTGACGGCACTTACAGGGAACAGAGGCCATCGCCGAGGGCCTGTTGGTGGGTCTTTCAGGTCCAGGGGGCACCATCCAGGGCAGAGCGTCCCACCTGTGGTTCAGGTCGCGACCCTCTTCACACAGTTTTTCTCTCCGTTTCGTAATCTTTTATTTGCCTAGGGAACTCTGCTACTGGAGGTTGGTTGATAAACCCCTGCAAAATCAGCTGGGGAATGATGAGAACATGAGTTAGTCTTAGAAAAATACTGTTGTTGATAGAGGTGGTTGCGCTTTTAAACATACAATGGCATCTGGTGTTGTAAGTTGGCTGTGTGTTCACGTCTCTTAAGAGCCACATGTATGAGACCCAGGGGGACTGTGACCGGATAATATATCTTCTCAAGCCGGTGCCCAGTTTCTTTTCTGATTACATGATGGGCGTGAGAGCGGTAGTTTTCATAGCAAACATTTAGCGTGTTTTGAGTTTCCTTGGAGGCAGGAAACATAGCATTTGGCATGCGTATAAACTTCAGGTTTTAGAAATCTAGAAAATGCATTAGGTGTCTTAATGACATCATAAAAATGACGTTAAACATAGCCTTCTAGTCTTCTAAGTGACTCCTTAGGAACAGTGGCAGTGCTGTGCTGTTTGGTGAGAGATGCCCCAGTGCCCAAGACGTGAGCGGACAGTCACATCCTACCTGTAGGTGGCGTGGGCAGGACCGAGTGGACGGTCACATCCTGCCTGTAGGTGGCGTCGCCAGACTGAGTGGAAGACTCGGGCCCGTTGGCGGGCGGCTGGGATGGCCCATAATCGCTGGGAGTGCCAAGACTTGCGTTGGGTCTTGCTTAACCTTTCTCTGCCCTGATTTCCCTGTTTACACAATTGGCTCATCGAGCCTTGTCTTCCACCTCCCAAGGATGATTTCAGCTGCCTATTTATTAAAAAAAATCTTTTAAAGGACAGCACAGCAGAATCACGGGTGAAGCTAAAGGAGCAGGAACCAGGTGGACCGGACGTTTCACGTCCTTTGTGTTGGAGTAAAGGCATTTCGTAACTCTGGATGTGACGCAACATGCCATAAATCCCGACACACAGCTGGAAGCAGTAAACTGCTGTGACACGCAGGCTCAGCTACAGACTTGGCGAGCTGGGTATGAGTGTCAGAGGGAGCGCTGGGCGCTCTGTGAGGGGTTGGATCCTCCTGAATCCATACTGTGATGTGGCCTTCTGGTCTAGACTTGACTTACTGTCATCTACTATCAGCCTGGCTTTCTTTAGATTTACTTTTACGATCAAAAAGTAAAGTAAATGATTTATCATTTTCAACTTTTATAAACTGTATTAATAGTAGTGATTTTTTAAGTCCTTGTGACACCTTCTTAGACCAAAGGTTGTCTCTGTTGTCTTCTGCCGCAGTATTTGGAGGGGGCTGTACTGTCTTCACGGAAGTTCAGGGGTGACGGAAATTACATGGTCCTGTATCTTGTTTTTAAGTCGTGCCCCAAGGCTTGTGGGAGTTCAGTTTCCCCATCAGGGATTGAACCTGGGCCCTGGGCTGTTTTAGTGTGGAGTTTGGACCACTGGGGAATTCTCTATTTACTTCCGTCTTTATGGTACCTGGAGGCTCACCAAGGTTTCTTATAAGCTGCTTTTTAAAATCAGTGAAGTCTATCAATCTAGACTTGGAGTGTGGACAGGACCAGGCAGCGGCCCTTCAGTTGGAAGTTACAGGGTTTCCAGGCAAAAGGATGAGGTATGCTGACTTTACAGATGCCCCGTCTTCTGTGTGATGTGCCCAGCAATGACAGGAGGTTCATACGGAGCTCATGGTCCTGCTGGACGAGCTGGGCCGTGACTGGCATCGGGCCTGGGAGTGCTCCTCAGTGCCCTCAGTGGACCTGTGTCCGCTCCACCGTCCTGATCATGGACAGAGTGGAGCTTAAAGTCTAACCGGCTGTTTCTTGGGGACAGATTGTGATTCGTCAAGGTTGCCCATGTGAGCACTTGTGAATAATATGATCTGCTTTCCAAAATCTGCTTTGCTAAATTTTGACAAACTTTCCTAGGTGTTTGCCCGGGGCCAAACTTTTAGATTAAGTTGTGCCTGCTGCCCTCTAGTGGTAACTGCCTTAATTTTAAGCAAGTTAATCTTTTCCTCTGGTGGTTGGGAAAGTTGGCATTTGTGTTGGCTGGGTTTCCTAAATTACTTATTCTGAAGAAGCTGGTTATTCCAGCTCGTGTGCAGGTCCAGCTCAAGTTTGCCAGATTCTGTGTGTCTCAGGCCTGGGAGCGCAGAAAGCTGCCTGTTCATTTCAGTCTATTAAATGGTCTTGTGACCGAGGCCATGAAGAAGGGAATCTTCAACAGTGAATTCTGCTGTGCTCACAAAGCAAAACTGTTGCACACAGGCTTTAATGCTGCACACAGCCTCAAAGCAGCAGTTGGCTGTTTTAGCCAATACCTAATATAAAAACTTATTTTAGACTTTCCAAAGATGTTCTACTAAGAATCTTTTAAGTCAGCTTGCCCTGTTCACATCCTTGAGCTGTCTTCTTACATGAATATTTTTGTTTCTGTTTTAAGATAAAAATGATGATGGAGGGAAAATGAAGCATCTTACATCCTCAAGAGAATGTAGTTATTGTGGAAAGTTTTTCCGTTCAAATTATTACCTCAATATTCATCTCAGAACGCATACAGGTAAGGAACTCCTTAGATTTGTTTACTGCGTGTATTAGCTCTGAGGATTGTGATGTAATTCTGTGTCTGGTTTTTGTTGTTGTTCAGGTACTCTTCTAGATCTTTGGGACATCTTAAGAATATATGTGTAGTCTCTTGATTTGTAGCTGTTGATTTGATTCCTTTAGTAGTATTGTAACTTGATCTGTTTTCATGTGAAGTTGGTCTCTTGTTTAATGTCTGATTCCTTTATCCTTACTCTCATTTTATACTTATTATATACTTTTATTTATATATATATTGTATATAATATATTATATATATTTATTATATATATAATATACTTATTATATACTCTCATCTTACTCTACATCTCATCTCTAATATTTTTAAATGTCACAGCTTTATTTTTATGATTTATAATGAAATTAATAATATTTAATCATCTTTGGTTTATGTTTATTACTATCACTTTTTGGCCACGCTGCCTGGCTTAGGGGGATCTTAGTTCCCCCAGCAGGTGGTTAATCCCATCATCTTGGCACTGGAAGCTTGAAGCCCTAACCACTGGACCCCCAGAGAATTCCATCCTCTTTTCTTTAGATTGTGGAAGCAGCTGTGACATGATGGTTTGGGAGGCCGTGTAGATTTGAATTTGCATCTCTTCTACTCACTGGCTGTGCACCCATAGGCAGATTAACTTTTCTGCGCTCTCATTTTCTTAGCTGTAAAAGTGGGACAATATTCACTCCCATAGCACTGTTATGAAGATTAAATGAGATCATTTTAAGGTGTGCTTTTTAATTTTTAAATGGAAGACACATGTTCATGGTTTCAAATATTCAGGGTAGAAAGAGCGATAAAGCTACAACTCATGACAGCTTCCGGATGAGATTCACAGACAAGAAGGGAAGAGGGACGAACTCTGTTCTCTCTGTCCTTGTTGATGCTTTTCATAAGCCTGTGTAGTAAAGTGACACTTCTCGTTTTAGGTGAAAAACCATACAAATGTGAATTCTGTGACTATGCTGCAGCGCAGAAGACCTCCTTGCGGTATCACCTGGAGAGACATCACAAGGACAAGCAGACGGACGCCGCCGCAGACGGCAAGAGCGACGGGAGACCTCAGGAGGCCGAGGATGCACTCCTAACCGCCGACAGCGCGCAAACCAAAAATTTGAAAAGATGTTTCGACGGTGCCAAAGATGTTAAAGGCAGCCCACCCGCAAAGCAACTGAAGGGGATGGCCCCCGCCTCTCAGAGCATCCTGGGCAGCGCAGTGCTCGCGCCAGTGCACAGGGAAACTCAGGATTTCAGCAAGGATGCAGCGGATGACAGTGCCGAGAAGCCGAGCAAGGCCCCCGGGCCCGCTTGCTTGGACGCCTTGAAGAAGAGGCTGCCTGCGGACCCTCAGGCCGGCCCCCTGGGGTGCAGGACAGAGGCGGCCGCGGCGGCCCGCCACGCGCAGCTCGGGCCCCGGGAGACGCGGGCGGATGTGGGCTGCCAGGAGAAGCCCCTGAACCTGTCCCTCGGCGCCCCGCACGGGGGCGCGGGGGTGCCTCTGGGCAGGAGCGTGACCGCCAGCAGTACCTGCCCGTTCTGCACCTTCAAGACCTTCTACCCGGAGGTGCTCACGATGCACCAGAGGCTGGAGCACAAGTACCACCCCGACGCGCACAAGAGCTGCCGGGGCAGGGCTGTGCTTCGCAGCCGGCGGACCGGCTGCCCGCCGTTCCTGCTGGGCAAGGACGTGCCCCCGCTGCCCGGCGCCTTCAGGCCTAAGCCGCGGCCGGTCGCCCCGGCACAGCCCAAGCCCGCGCCGGCTGAGAGACCTGCGTCCGGTGCCCAGGGGTCCGGCAGAGCTCCGCCGCCTGCGGGCGCCGACGCCAGCACTTTAGCCCCCAGCAACCTCAAGGCGCTGAATGCCCGGCCACCGCCAGGCCTTGGGGTTCCGGGGCCCGGCCCCGCTCGCACACCGCCCGAAGCGCCGCCCTGCAAGGCGGGCCCGGAGAAGACGCGTCGGCCCGAGCCGCAGCCCCCCGCCGACGCTGCCAGGAGCGACCACCCTGCCAGGAGTGACGGCCCTTGGGCGCCCGCGCGGGACTACGCGTGCGGCCGCAGCGGCGCTGAGCTCGGGGAGCCGCTGCCCAAGCGGCCGCGGGTCGCGCCCGAGCCGCCCTGCACGCCGTGCCGCCGGCCGCCCGAGCTTCCGCAGTACCGCGTGGTGCGCGGGCTGGCGTCCCTGCTGCCGCCCGAGTGCGCCTGCGCGCCCCCCGCGCGCCCGCGGCCCGCGCCCGGGCCCGCCTTTGCCGCCTTGCTGCCCTGCGCGCCCGGCGCCGCCGCAGCCGCTGCGCTAGAAGGTGGGCGTCTTCGGGGGGGCCCCGCGGGGCCCTAGTGGGGCGGGAGGGTGGGGGTGCCGGGCGCAGCGGCCCCTCTTCCAGCTCCTCCCGGGCTGGGGGCGGCAGGGCCTGGGGGTGGCACCCCCTTGCCATGCCGGGTCAGTTGTCCTGGGCGCCCGGCCGGGGGGCTCGGCGGCCCGCCCTCGTGACGAGCGCGGGTCCGGCGCCCGCACAGGCTGCCCAGGGGCCCTAGGAAGCGCTCTGCAGGCGCGGGGACCACCGGGCCCCTCCCAGGCTGCTGGGTCTCTTTGGTGTCCAGACCTAGGGAGCTGCCCTGCCGCCTTCTGCCGGGGCTCAGCCTTAAGTGAATCTTAAAGCACAGTCTTCTCCGTGTTACCCTCGATGCGCACAGGTACCTTGAAGGCCCCTGTCCCCGGGAGGCGGCTCTAAAGCCCCCGCTGCCCCGGGCGCCCCTCCCTCGAGGTGGCTAGCCCACACCGGATCCAGCGAGAGTGGGTGAGACTGGCGTGGGGCCTTGGCCCACTCGGCCGACTCGGGGAAACCGCAGTGCCTTCTCTGGCTGTAAGCGCTGCAGGTTTCTCCGCCCAAAGGGACAAGTCCATGTTAAACGTCTCTGTGCTATTTTGAAATGAAAGGTTCTGGGTGGTGACAGTTCTGTTTCATTGGCTTGATGCCAGGTGATGTGGGGATAGCTAATTAGAAAACAGTTGCTTTCACACAGTCCAGTGACTGACTTTTATAAAAATTTTGGTGAAAAAAATAATTTCTGCAGCCTTATGATTAGAAGTGTTCCTCCCCACCTCCCCTAGCACTCAAAGTGGACATGAGCCATAACTGTGTCTTTTACTTGAAGAGAAAAGTCTCTGCTGCGAGTAAATCGGTCTTTTTTTTCCTCCACGCAGTTTCGGTTCATGATACACAAAGGCTGCCGTTTTGGCTTTTAAATTTTACTAGCACTTAGATAATTTTACCATTTAGTGACTTAAAATTCTAAGCTAAGAAATGTCTTCCTGGTAATTAAAAACATTTTACCTTGTAACTAACTTTATAATACCTATGCATCTTCTGTGTTCTGCTCACATTATCAGTTAGGAATTTTGAAAATTGACTTCTGACAACCCCCATACATCTTACCTAATCGTTGAGCTTAATTTTAAATGCCCGTTTACGCTTTTTTTTCCCCCCCAATCAGGAAAAAGGCCTGTATCCTATCAACACTTATCTAGCAGCATGCTGCAAAAGAGGAACTATGAGAATTTTATTGGGAACGCACATTATCGACCAAATGACAAAAAAACTTGATTTCCTATTTTGGGGATGAAAGGTGAGCACATAAACTGTATTGATTTTACCTAATTGAAAACAAACCATCTAACTTATCCAGTATAATATTACAAAGTAAAATTGCTTTTAACTTGAATTTTGAAGTGTTTTTAAAACAGAGCCCTCAGAGTCTCTGGACATCAGTGGTGATGATCATGGTAAAGTAGCAAAAGCTACTGAAAGTTACTGAGGGTTTATTTCATGCCAGGGGTTGAATGAATTGTTTATCATCATGAACCAGTTTAATCCTTAGAGTCTTAGGCCAGTTGCTGGCCATCAGTTTTTGTTAATAAAGTTTTATTGGCACACAACCACTTCCTTTCCTTTACATATTGTCTATGGCTGCCTGGGGCCACAAAAGCAGAAGTGGATAGTTGTGACTTGCTCTGCAAAGAAGAGAGCTGTCTAGCTAGTTATAGGAAAAGTTTGCCATCCCCAAGTTAGGAGGCTCTGTGCCCACTTTACAGATGTGGAGACTGGGACTTGGCTTGTGTAACTTGCCCAGTGCCTTCCTCTGCCTGCTTTCGGTCCTAGGTCTGCAAAATCCAAGGCCTGTGCCCCAACCCTCCAGTTTAAGTGCTTGTTAAGAACCTTTATAAATCCTTATCAGAGTGGGAGCAAGAGTAGGCCAGAGCAAGGAGGTTTATGTTGACTTTCTGGTTCACAAGGCAGATGTATCTAGTGGTAACTACCCAAAAGCTTCAGGTGGCACTCTTGGAGTTGTGCACATGTTAATTTAGTTACTTCCAAGTGTGGGCAGAGGGCATGACTTCTATGTGAGAGTTAACAATAAAGTGAATGGGAAGACTGAGGCTCATGGACAGATTTCATTCCCTCCCAGATCGCTCTTCTTCTGCTAAACCACTGCCATATTCTTGTGGAGCAGATTCTTGACCCAGTGCCTGCTAGATCTGGATTCAGAGATAGAGACCTGTGGACCTGGGCATAGTTTCTCCTTCCTGTTTTCCCTGGGACTCCTGGGGCATACGGGCCTGTCCGCCTGCATCCTTCTCTCCCACTCAGGTGATGCTGGTGGTATGAGGCTGGCGCCATAGCAGAAATGGGATTAGATCCTCTCTGCCTTGAAACATAAACACGATTTCTGGCTGGTTATTTGCACTGTGTGTGGCAGCAGGTGGGGACTGTCCAGCTCCCGCCTCTTCCTGCAGCCTCTGGGCTTCTCTGCTTGCCTTTCTCTCTGCTCTGGAACATCCTTGCCACACCCTCCTGGCCAGATGACCTTGTTCTGGTACTTAAGTTCATGTATTTCTGCAGCATGTTTGTGAGGCGCTGGGGCTTCCGTTTGTGTTCTTCTGTGCTGTTGTTCATACCTTTATGCCCACCTGACCTGTGCCCCCGACTTCCATCCTGAGCGGTGCTGAGGTGGTGCCTGGCCCAGGGCTGGGAATTTCAGCTGTAAAACTCCATAGACATTGGCCAAACAGTGTTACACGTGTTTTATGCCCTGTCCTTCTCATGGAGGAGGTTATTCTATTCTGAGTCTTATCTTAAATACCTGTGGTCTTGTGCCATATATTTTCCTTTCATTAGGTATAAGTTTCCAGAGTTTCCTATAGGTGGCAGTTGACTTGACACGTATCTGATATAAATTCTGGTTGTTGGTTAAATCATCTTCATTAAATCACGGTTCATTGTAAGCATCTCCTAAATAGTGCAGCTTATTTATTCAGACTCCTGAGACTTGGTTAAAAATTTAAGCTTAAATGGAACCCATTGCATTTCTAGATCCTTTTAGTTCTGTGTATTTATTACACTTTTTAAAAAATTTTGTAAACTGTATTTAGTTTTAATCCTAATCATGTTTAAACCTTTTTTCCCCCCTTAGGTCTTGATGGATATAAATGTGTACTCTCCATGAAATTAAATTAGTTCATCCTTTGAAAAAGCAGATGTTGAAAGCTACTGAAATAAGCTGTGATTGTACTGTGTATATAACACATAAAGGAACACTACGGTTTTGTAAAGTTGTTCTGTTAACTTTTGTACCAAATAGCAATAAAGACTATAGTTGGAATTTGGGTTGTACACAAATGGAGACTGGACATCATCTCTATTTTGCCCCAAATAATATGTTTTTTAGAATTGACCAAATAAAAAATGGAGGTTTTTTTTTTTTTTTTTTGCATACTTGAGCGCTGCTGAAAAGAAATCATTTGGGTTAGGGGGTGGGGTGGGGAGAAAGTATATAACGCTTGCACCTCAGGTAAAAAATTTTGTAAATATATGTTGTAAACCTGCTTGTTTAAATACTGTGTGTATTCTTTTCCTCTAATGTTGCTCATCACTTTGAGCACATTTCTGCTATTTGTCCTCTTTCATCTAAAATGTGCGGTTTTTGTTTTTTAATCTCAGTGATTTGTATTATGTTAAACCCTCCACAGTCTCTTGTCTGAATGGAAACATCGACCCCCTGAATATGTGCTGCTTGTCCTAAGATCAGCCTTTCTCTAGTTGGTGCCCTCTTATTACAAATTTTGGTAGGTCGTCTGAGGAAGACCCAGACCCAGAATCCTCTTCTCAGGGGATTGGCGGGGGGATTTTTAAGTGTGTGTATCTATAGAGAAGCATTTCCTCTAGGCCAGCCACACACTCAGTAAACATACCAAATTGTATGTGGAGTTACTTAGTTTTCTATCAAATGAATCATTTTTGTTGGAAAATTCTGGCGTTTGCCTGAATTAGTTATATAAAAATATAAAGGCTAAATTATACATGTGAATTACATATATTGGAAGCAGTTTTAAAAGAAATGAAAGCTGAGGGGTAAATTTTAGGTTTGCATCTGGTAGTCTCCGTGTGTCTGGCACTTGGGTTGACTGTGGACACACTCCGGTTAATTACAGACACATGGATCATGCAGGAGTGCTGACTGAGGCTCCTGGTACTCCGGGGAGTTCCCTGGTCTGGAGACCTCGGCATCTTCCCATTTTTGGTGGTTTGGAGGCAGCACTATTTTCTCAGTGTACAGGACAGTTTGGGTTTTAAAGAGAGACTGGCCACCAGCTGGCTTACTAAATGTTTTATTACACTTCTGTTCCCTTAATCCACTGTCCATGGCTGACTGTTACAGGCAGCACCTGGGTTTAGTGACCACAACATACTTTATTAAGAAAACTGTTTCAAAAATAAATTTGCACTGTTAATTTTTATTGCCTTGCCCTTCTCCATTAGAACAAGGGTAATGTCCTCAAAAGAATCCTGACTTTTTTGTTTGTTCTCATTATGCAACACGACGCTCACTTGATAGAAAAGTCTTAACTCCCAAGTGAGAAGGGAGACCTACCCTGAGCTGACCCTGCTGGCATCGTGATGAAGTGCTTTTTATCAGGAAAGTGTACACTATTGACCTTTCTTTCTGTTCACAAGCTGAGCCATATGTACATAATCTAGATTTTTGTTTTCCTAGTTTTGCACTTTTATAGCCTATTTTTGAAGATTAACACATTGAGAAAGATGATTGACATGATCCTTACCTAATCCAATAAGTGTTACAGAAAGCTTGCTGTGACGATAAATATAAATCTTAAAAGGGGATAAACACGATGATAGAGGGCTGAAATTTAAATCTGTATTTAAAAAAAAAAATCACCAAATCTATTTGAAAACAAGTCAATTCACGTTATGCTGAAATCTGGGTACCTTTCTGATTTCTCCTTTTTAGCCACATTTCTGAATCCTTAAAAATACAGTTTTATTTTTCTTTCCACAGCCCTTGTACTCCAAAATGTTTTTTTTTTTCCTTTTTTTTGTCCATCAGTATTAACTATTGGGATACTACTGGTTTTGTATGTTCTTTTCCCTTTGAGACAACAGTACATATACTAGAGGTACAATCTGTTGGATTTTTGTTTATGTATTTATTTCATTCCAGTTTGATTTATTTTAATTGTTGATACTTAAGTTGTCAAACAGTAGACATTACTTGTTTTATTTATGATATATTTCAGCTTAAAGTTATGTTATTATATGTGGATGTAAATATAGATTTGGTGTTTTGCAGTCTTGGGCTTTGGTCTTTATTGAGTCCCCGGTGTCTGACTTTTAACTTTTCGTAAACACACACAGTCGTAGAAAGATGCAGGGACTGTGTCCCCACGGGCTCGCCTGCGACACTTCGTCTGTGACTCCCCAGCTCGCCTTCCTTGTTAAAGCAAAGCTTCAACATGTTTTACTTTTCGTTCCTCAAATGCCTCCGCGAGTATCTGTAACAGATATGGGCTTTTCCTGATGACATCTAACTAAATGGACAACGATTTCTCATAACCGATCTCCATTGCTGCATTTCCAGTTGTCAGAAACACCTTCTGACAGCTAGGAAGTTGCAGTCAGGATCCAAACAAGATCCACTTAACGCAGTTTAGTTGAGGGGTTTCTTGGCCCCATTTTAATGTTGACCTCCTCTCCCTTGACACCCACATGCACACTGAGGACATTTCATTTATTGAAGAAACTGGGTCATTTGTCCTGTAGAAATTCTCATTTCCATGTTTGGGTTTATTGGATCTTGCGGTTTCATCTAACCTGTCTCTCCAGCCTCTGTATGTGACCCTATAAGCAGGTGAATAGTCTGGAGGTTTAGTTTTGATCTCAGTTTTGGGGAGATGGGGTCTTCCTCCCCCAATTCCAGTTCTACCCCATCACTCCTGGACATGTACAGTGTGTGACTGTTAGTTACTTGCGTGTACTCAAGCCTTTTATTCTGTACGGTTTATCAGTTATCTAGGGTTCAAAATTTTTTGCGTGGGTACACTGACCATATTTTAGCCCAGCTCAGACAAGTGCTGAAAAAGAAATAAGGTAAGGGCCCTCCCCACCCCATGGCTGTGAAATGTCAAGAGGGTGAGAGAGCTGAACTTTCCAGCGACTGCACCATCTCCTTGGACAGAAAAGGAGCCCAAGGTCCCCAGAAGGCCACGTGCGTCCCCAAGGCCAGACAGCTCTGCGGGGCGTTAGCGGGAGCGGCTGGGTCTCCTGTCCCACTGTGCGCTCCTTCTCAGGGCCAGAGAGGAGCGCGGCATCTCGGGTGCATTTTCAGGCCTTCTGAGACTGGAGTCTGCTCCCCCCTCAGCCCTGGGCAGGCTGGGGTGCCCGGGGTTTGCCGTCGGTGCCCGTGTCTGGGACGGGCACCCGGGGGTGAGCCAGTCGTGTGACCCTTCAGTGAGACTCTGCTAAGCAGCGTGTTTTTATATATATATATATATATAACAAAGTATTGGACCTTCAGCTTTAGCATCAGTCTTTCCAATGAATATTCAGGACTGATTTCCTTTAGGATGGACTGGTTGGATGTCCTTGCAGTCCAAGGGACTCTCAAGAGTCTTCTCCAACACCACAGTTCAAAAAGCATCCATTCTTTGATGTTCATCTTTCTTTATAGTCCAACTCTCACATTCATACATGACTAGTGGAAAAGCCATAGCTTTGACTAGACGGACCTTAGTTGGCAAAGTAACATCTCTATTTTTTAATATGCTGTCTAGGTTGGTCATAGCTTTTCTTCCAAGGAGGAAGAGTCTTAATTTCATGGCTGCAGTCACCATCTGCAGTGATTCTGGAGCCCCCTACCCCCACCCCAAAATAAAGTCTGTCACTGTTTCCACTGTTTCCCCATATATTTGCCATGAAGTGATGGCATTGAAAGGCAGTCTTAACTACTGGACCACCAGGGAAGGTACTTATTAGAATGAATGGGACATACTCATGTGACAGAAGATTTCCAACCTCTTGAGTTTGTGAAAAGTCATACCAAAGAAGGAAAAAGAAAATCACATTTCTTTTCTGCCTTTTAGCCTTATTTGTTACGGAAATTTCATCGTGACCTTTGTACACTCGTCAAACTCCCGCACGTCTGTGGCCCCCGCAGGCTGTAGCGGGCAGAAGCATCTGGCACGGCTCCAGCCCCCTCTCCGGCAGGCTTGGTGGGCAGTCTGGAGTAGGAGGGAGAAGGCTGAGTGCCTCCCGAGCACACCAGTGAGGTCGCTCAGTCGCGTCTGACACTTTGCGACCCCGTGGACTGTAACCCACCAGGCTCCTCTGTCCATGGGATTTTCCAGGCAAGAGTACTGGAGTGGGTTGCCATTTCCTTCTTCAGAGGATCTTCCCGACCCGGGGATCGAACCTGGGTCCCCCGCCTGGTAGATGCTTCACAGCCTGAGCCACCAGGGAAGTCAGGTGACTTAACGCGAAAGAGCGAGAAGTCAGGCGAGGCGCCTCGACGCCCTGCCTCAGAAGGGCAGCAGGGGTCCCATCACAGCTCGCTCAGTCGTGTCTGACTGTGACCCCGTGGACCGTAGCCCGCCTGGCTCCTGTCCGTGGGACTTTCCAGGCAGGAACACTGGAGTGGGCTGCCGTTTCCTTCTCCAGGGGATCTTAGGACCCGGGTGTGGAACCCACGGCTCCTGCGTTGGCAGCCGGATTCTTCACTGCAGAGGCTCCCGGGAAGCCCTAAAACAGGGCAGCCTCCCTGCAGAGGTGACCAAAGAGTGGCCCACATAGGATCGAACCCTTGACCTTGTCGCTAACTGACTTGATCTCGTCATGACGACTGTTAAAAAGCCTCTGCGCTTCCTGCCGCACAGGCGGCATGCCCCGTGGACTGATTACATTCTCAGCGCCCCAAGGCTTTTCACTCGTGCCCCCAACAGTGGCAGATGGATCTTTTAGTTTCACGCCTCTGACCGGGCAGGCAGCAGCAGAATCCCAGGGTTCAAGTCTCTGTCCACACTGGTCCCGCCCTGAGCCTGGTGTGTCCCTCACCACTGCCTCTCCACGTCTGCCCCGGAGCCCCCAGCTGGCATCTGAGCTCAGCACGCACCCCCTGATGGCGGCCCGTCGCGGCCTGTGTCCCCCCGCCCCCTGCCCGCCCAGGGGTGGACCAAGCCCTTTCAGTCCCCCTTGCCCGTCTTTCATTTCCTGTCCAATCCAAGAGCAAAAGTGCGCCTTCTGTTCCCTTCAAAACACGCCCGGATGCGGGGCTGTCTCCAGGCACCCCCATCGCCATCGCCGTCGCCATCACCGTGAGCCAGGCCGCCAGCCGTCCCCGGATGACGCCAGCCTCCCAGCCTCCCGTCTCCCCTCCTTAAGCTCGTCCCCTTCAGCCGCGCCTCCTTGTGTGGCCACACCTGTCTTCCCCAGAGACAGTTCTACCTCTGTCCTCGCTCGAACCACGGTGACCTCACAGGGCTCAGAATGAAACCGAGCCTGCCCGCGGCTCTGCTCTCTGCCTGAGCGGGATCCCCCAGCCCTTCCCGTTGCTTACGGCCGCCACGGGGGACTCGGGTTTCCTTCTGGAGCCTCCCAGACTCCTTTCCGCAGTCGTCCAGGTAATCCACACTCACGTGCTCATACGTCCCTGACCCCCAGGTCTCCAGCCCCCTCCGTCTCTGGATCTGGTGGTATTTTTCTTCGAAGCACTCAGCACTGCCTGCCATCACAATGTGCATTTGTTTGATTGGTCTTCCCCATCTGAAGGTCACCCCCCGGAGGGCAGAGATTTGTTATCAGTGTATCCCCTGGGCTTCCTCAGAGCTTGGGATATTTGTTGGTAGGATGGATGGATGGATGGATGGATGGATAATATATATAGTTTATTCTAACCCAGCAAGTCATGAAAGACAGGTGGGTGCTTGGAATTATCTCAACAACCTCATACTTTTGAAATGATTTGGAGTTTCTCAACATAAGCATTTCCATGGCAACAAATGTAATGTGCACTCACCGCTGGTTAGTTTTATTTTTCTTATGTGCTGTTCTTGGTCGCTCAGTCTTGTCCAACTCTTTGTGACTCCGTGGACCGTAGCCCACCAGGCTCCTCTGTCCATGGAATTCTCCAGGCCGGAATACTGGAGTGGGTTGCCTTTCCCTTCTCCAGGAGATCTTCCTGACCCAGGATTTGAACCCGAGTATCCCACATTGCAGGTGGATTCTTTACCATCTGAGCACCAGGGAACCCTCCCACCCCTTTATTTCCTTATACAGCGGTATATTGAGTGAGAGGAGTTTTACATGGAGGGTAACTGTGGGTGGCAGAGGTACTTTAGAGGAATGAAAGGAAGATAGGATTGAGAGAGCTTTGGTATGGAGTACTTAAATGATTGTTTTTTTTTACTGGGTGTGCATGTGGGTGGGGGTGGAGGGCGTGGAGATAGTTGGAGGGCAAGAATTTGATAAGCAGATTGTAGGAGATTATAGAGAAAAGAATATGCTTGGAAAAGGATATTCATATCTGAGAGGCTTAGCGATTCACAAGTCACTGATAACATATGCAGAAAAAGCTGCCAATCCAAGCATCCTTCATTGTAGGAAAGGTTGACATCAAGTGGTCATTTCTATGGTAAAGAATCCACCTGCAGTGTGGGAGACCTGGGTTCTATCCCTGGGTTGGGAAGATCCCCAGCAGAAGGGAAAGGCAACCCACTCCAGTATTCTGGCCTGGAGAATTCCATGGACAGTCCTTGGGGTCGCAAAGAATCGGACATGACTGATCGACTTTCACTTTCATGTGGTAAAGGACCCATCTGGCAATGCAAGAGACGGGGGCTTGATCCCTGGGTTGGGGAGATTCCCTGGAGGAGGGGATGGCCACCCACTCCAGTATTCTGGCCTGGGACATTCTAGGAACAGAGGAGCCTGGCGGGCTGCAGTCCGTGGGGCCACAGAGTCAGACGTGACTGGGTGACTGATCACGGCACCGCTCCATCTACATGGAGTGTAGAAAGTGAAAGCCATGTGCCGCAGGGAAGATCCCGCATGCCGGAAGTTAAGAGCCCAAACAATCAAATAAATATTAAAAAATACATATGTTAATATATGAGTATTCCTTGAGTGTATATCTAGGAGTGGAATTGCTGAGTCAAAAATCATTTAAAAAGAAAAAAAAATAAGGGACTTTACGTTATCTTAACATGGAGAGTTTATTCTCATTGTTATCGATGAGGAGGCTGAGGTACCCAGAAGTCAGTGAGTTGCTCTTGGCTGGTAACGGGGCTGAGCCAGCTCTGTG